ACTACCACGACCACCACCACGACCACTACCACTACTACTACTACTACTACTACCACTACTACTACTACTACTACTACTACTACTTCTGCTACTACTACTACTACTACTACTACTACCACTACCACTACTTTCCTTCCTTCCTTCCTTCCTTCCTTCCTTCCTTCCTTCCTTCCTTCCTTCCTTCCTTCCTTCCGTGGCGCAAACGTTCGAGAACGTCTTTAGGTAGCGGCACGAAGGCATGTCTTTTACGCGGCCATCAACTGGGACAGCTAAAACCCACAGAAGCTCCATGCCTCTGTTTGGAAATCGTTAGCAGCTCCAAAAAACATACAAAACGGACCTCGCGCGGCCGGTAGCCCCAACAAGCAGCGAGAATTCGGCAACACGCAGCTCGATAGCTGCATCACTTTGCAGGAAGACTTACTCGTGTATAATGTCTAAAAGAGTGAAAAGCTTGACTGGCCCCTCTCAGAGACATGAAAGAAAAGCATTCAATCTCAGAAGTTGCATCGGGTCGCACATCAGAGAGACTCGAAGCCATGAGAGAAAATGCATCCAGTGATTCGCTTCGTCCTCGCATTGGCACGTGGCTGTTCGCTTCCAAGCACAGGATACTGCAAAAACCGCTGGCTGCCTGTAATCATATTGGTATGCATCATTTTTGCAACGTCGCGTGACCCCTGCATCATTGTATCTTCCTATGGCCATAGTTTCATGCCCACGTCATTCAAGCGCTGATTGTCATTCCCAGCCAGCCTCCATGTGTCACGAATATGCAAAAAACCTAGCACAAATCGCTAACACCACGTGCCATCTCTTTGCCCTCAGTCTGGTGACGGATAGTGTGATGGTCTTGATGTGCCCCTTAAGCCGTGGGCTCCAGCTGATGAAATCCAAAATCGTCCTGCTCAAAGACCTCGCCTCCCGTGAAGGGCCTCAGCGGGATCAAAGTATTCTCTGATTATTGGGATCACGATGCAGACGGGTGGGAACATTCAGCGATACGAAAACGGTCGAGAAATAGCCAGATGGTCGAAGACATCGCACAATGCAGCTCAGGAGCTGAGTGACATTGGGAAACTGCGTCGTGTTAGACATGACCCCAGCCTGGCTGCCATGAACCCATCCACCAAACTGTATGCCTCTCCCTTCCTGCGGTGGGGCCATGTGCTCAGCTTGGTGCCTGTACACTTCCCTTCTGCAAGCATTGGCTGGCGAGCTCTTCAGCAGAAGAGCTCGGAGTGATTCTACATTTGTCACCACATTCAAGACATGAAAAGTTATTTCGGCCTCGGAATCATCGGAGATGAGATTCAGAGCCGAGATGAGGTGAAGGTCAGACTCCTACTACTGCTACTGCTACTACTACTACTACTACTACTATCAAGCCCAAACCAAAGCTTGCACGAATGATGCTATTCAAAACAAAAAGCCAAACAGGCGCTTTTGTAATTTGTAAGTTTACACTCCCAAAAAATATTCTTGAGCGGGACGGAGCCCCGTGCGAAACGGTGGCGAATATTTGAGGTTTTTCCAGGGATTCAATAAGATGTTCCGAATTCAAAACATGTGTTCTGAGATTAATAAGTGTCGATAAGATGCAGCACAATTTTTCGTTTGTCAGAGCACCCATGCCCAAACCATAATGACGTCCCTACCGCTGCATTGGCGACGACGACCACCACAGCAGCACAAGCTTCCACTACGCTACTGCGGCTGTTGCTCCTGATATGGCTACTAACCAGTCACCATGGCCAAGATGATTTAGCGTGGTGATGACATTCTCTATGCCAGGCTGCGAGTCGCAACGGCACAGAAAGCAGCCTCAAGTTGCTGAATTGCCAACCTGCCAAGGCCAGGCACTCACGCCCACACACGCACAGACAGTTGTTTGGTTGCAGCTTAGCTTGCAGTGCTCCAGGTGTACAATCGTCACTTGGATGCGTACGGTCAGCGTACGCTGGGGGCATAAACAAAGGGGTCTCAGCGATGAAGACGTAGCAGCTTTACACCGTGCCTTGCACCTTCATTGCTTCCGAGTCCCGTGGCTGCTGCTGCTGAGAGCGGCTTCGCAGAGTTGACTCGGATGTTGATCGATGCTGGTGCACGACTCGACGAAGCCGACGAGGATGCAAGAACATGTGATTGGGACCTGCGGAGATATGGTTCCGGCTTCGGGGAAGTTCAATGCTGATATTCCTGCTGTGTTCTAGTGGACCGGTGAGACAGGAATTCGCGCTAGGTTGCTCCAAAGTATGAGTGCCGAATATTTTTTATTCGTCTACTTCGTCCCCCGATGTGATGTGTTCTTCTAGTGCTTCGCTTCACCCGCTTGCATCTTGCGGACTCCGTCCTTGGTGTTTCGATGTGTTTCCAAATTCCTACACCAAAGCATGAGCGAGGCTGTGAAGATAGAGTGCGACAGCAAACCTCAGCTGAAGCTTTCTGCATGCGCCTGCACACGTTTCCATCGTGCCAGTGCCATTCATGTCGAAAGTAGGGCTATGATGCGCAGTAGCAGTTGTATCATTCAAGATCCTGCCACACTGCTGGGATGCCCGAGTCTGACTCAAGAGGACAACCGGAGCCCTTTGTGGCTGGCCGCGCGCTCCAGCCGATCTGGACAGATCTCTTTGTGCGAGCCAGTCAGAACCACTGCTTCTCCATGTCAGGAGTCGTAAAATTGCTCCTCCAGCATGGGGCTGACCCCGGGCGGCTCGACAAGGACGAGCTGTCATGTGCATCATGTGCTGATTTTCTTGAAATATGACACGACAAGCCTTGTGCAGGATGGTGTGTCAGTTCTCGGCGCCGCCACCGCCGGTGGATGCAGCGAGGCCAGCTGGATCGCTTCTCTCGGAAACAGCTCTCCAAATGCCACAGTGATTAAACTTCCGGCCAGCCACGCCGAAAGGAGCTGGTCGCGGCAATCCTTGCGCACGGCATCGACGTCAATGCTACAGCTGGATCACCGTGCCTTGTTCAACGAATTCAACCAGATCTGACCACTGTTGAGTGTGGTTCCGTTTATGACCATAGACATGTTTGGGAGCACACAGTCATCCTGATTTGCTCAGTCTGCGCGATGCCGTAAAGTCATCGAAGAAGGCTGTCGTGGAAGCATTGTTGCCACCTCGGAGTCCGCCCAGGGTGACTAAGAGGGCGGCGAGAGTGTTTGACCACGCAAGGCTGACACACGGAGCAGCTGTCAATGGGACAGCTACTAGTGGTGGTGCCACAGCTCTACACGCAGCTTGTGAGCGTGGTGACGAGTACTTGGTGCAATTGTTCTCCCGGCTCGTCCCAAGACTGTGCCAACTCTCAGAGCATCTTTGGTGAACTCCGGAGGCTTGTTCGTTCTCGTGCAGATCCTTCGTTCACCGATGTGTCTGGATTGACTGCCTTTGTCCCCGCCTCGTTTCATCCCGCGTTCCTGCCCACTGAATGTGAATTGATTTTGAGGACTTGCTGCGCCGCCGCGGGCTTTCTGATGGGAAAATTGTCGCATTGCAGAGCACTCAGTCTCGGCATCATGCTGTGGATAGTTGCGAGTGAGGTATGCAACTTGCGAACAAGACTTGTCTGAGGCTAAGTCCACCAGCTTCCGGAGATGACGGCGGAACCGGCAGCATGCACGCTGCCGCAGGCACCCGAAAATGAAGAGTGCTGTCAGAGTCTGCATGACGTGCGGGATGCCTTGCAGTGCGGGCCGTGAGTCTCAGGATGAGACTCTGGCAGAGGAGAGGAGAGGCGCTCAGCCTTCTGAGACTGGATCTGATGGCCGGCTGCTTTTCACATGCAGCCGTTCGCCCCACGCGTTTCACAGAGCTGCAAAGACTGCAGCTACGTTCTCTATCGAATTCGGCTTCCTGCAGGTGGAGAGCATACTCTTGCAGCATGAAGCATCAGCACTTCGGCCCGACTATGCGTGCTGGAACCCCAAAGACCTACAGTAGTTTGCAATCGCCCCTCATTTGTGCTATTTCATCAGTTGCCAGCACCAGCAGTGCTCCATTTCTTTCCAGTGTGCCATCTGCCGTCCGCGGCGGCTGGCTGCACCATCACTTAGCAGTACTTTTACCGGGTCCCGAACATAGTAACATAGGGTCAATATTCAGCAAGACCGCAGGCAACACGATGCTGGCCCCAGATTCGGCCCGAGCGTAAACAGACCTTGTTGCCTGCACAGTCTGCACAAAGCAAGTCGAAACCCAGTTGGGATTGAAAAGTGCTTCTCTGCAGCTGTCTTGGATCACGATTTTCTTACACGTCCTCATGTGGGACGTGTGCAAATTATCGCCCCAGAGTGTACATATGTAGATATGGAAGCTGAGATCCGCGACCGCCTTACAGATCACACCAGTGGTCAGGGGAGTGTCAGCAATCACAGTGAACACGTCTGCGGAGCCTGAACAGGGCAAGCTGTTTCGTAGTTCGCACCGTAGTTACTCTGCACAACCAAGCGTTTGCAGAGCTGTTTGTCCTTGTGGCAGTGGTATTTCTCTGTTTGGGTTTGGGGGGTCTTGTGTGCACTGTGAAACATGACTTCTTTTGTTTGCGTTGTCTTGGCTTTGCGGCCTTTACCATATGACGTCCAAGGCCCCGCTTTCAGCATCCGCTCCATGCTCGATGATGTACCCGGCATCGACAGCCTACACGCCATTTACTCGAGACCAGAACGAGACAACGGAAAAACAGTTATAGGACCGAGTAGCCTCACGTGTGTATGATGTGTATGTTGTTCTGTTCGGCTTCAGAGAGCGTGTGCAAATGTGTGTTCAGGTTGGGCATGTGTGCCTTGCTGGTGGTCCCAGAAGGGCTTGTTGGTGGTCGTGCGCTTGCCGGCATGGCAGAGCTGCTTGATGCGGTCCTTCCGTGCTGTGTGAGGTGAGCCGCCTGTGGTGTGCTATGTGTGGTGTGCTGCGTGTCCTCCTTCTAAATGCTGTGCGTAGTGTGCTGTGTGTAGTCCTTTACGTGCTGTTTGTGATGTGGTGCGTGTGTGTGTGTGTGTGTGTGGGGGGCGTGCATTGCGTTGTGCTGCGTGCGGTCCGTCTACATGCTGTATGCAGTTGGCTGTGTGTGATGTACTGCATGTGGTGCGATGTGTTTGGTGTGCCTCCAGCCAGCCCTTGCAGAGACTTCAACCGGGGACGGGGGAGTGTGCTGTATGTGGTCCTTCCACGTGCTGTGCGTGCGCAACCCTGTGTCGAAGGGCAGATAAGGGCACTATAAGAATTCGCGGTATCAATCAGCGACTGCGGAAGGCGCGGGCTGTTTAAAAGAAGTGTCTGTCTGGAGTCATGCCAGCTCACGGCTAAGAGCTGGCATCTGACCAGACGAATTTTGAAAGCCTGAGACTCTACCCATTGTGGTTTCAATCAGTCTGATGTGTGCGGTGTGCTGCATGTGTGGGCCAAGGCTCGAGCCAGCCTTTCTAGAGAAGGGAGGGAGGCCCCAAAAAAGCGCCCGCGGCCTCCGCCTAACCCCAAAGGCGTGCGTGGCCTCCAAACAGCCCTTTTGTTTAATTTATGGTGTGTTGCGCTGTGCGTGGTGTGCTGTGCGTGATCTGTGCGCTGCGTAGTGTGTGCCTTGATTGGAGCGGGGCGGTGGTGCGGGATGGTGGGGTTGGAGTGGGGCTGGCTGCTGGTGGTGGTGGTGTTGCCGCTGCGAGCTGGGCCGGTGCTGGTGCTTTTGGTGCTGGTGCTGCTGGTGGTGGTCGGGAAAGCACGGCTATCAACTACTACCCCACCCACTGATGTGGGAACTATGGGCATGCTATCACATGAGGCTTAAACAGTCGCCCAACCCCTCTCCGGACTGAGGATTGCTGCAGGTGCTGCAGCATCTGGACCAGGACCCCGTTTCGCGTTAGGTGCTTTCTGAGTCGTGCTGCCGTGGCACGAGTGAGCAATAGTCAATTCAGGGTCATGATATGTCACAGTAAAGCAACCATTCGCATGCAACGTCGACACTGTGAGCTGCAGTTCGGGCAATGCCGGAAGCCGAACAAAGGGCAATGGACACGATCTGGACACAAGATCACTCAGCACGATACGGGCAAGTTTGGCCCAAAGGACGTAGCGTGTGAATGGTTGATTGAAACTGGTAGTTCATCCTACTGTTTCTCGGGCCCGGTTCAGACGGGTAGGATAATGAGTTGTATCGAAGTTTCGTGTTGCCATGGGCCATGCAGGCTGCTTTAGCTTTCGCCACGCGTTCCCGCATTGTGTCTCAGTGGTTGTTGATGCCTTTGTGTTCTGCCTTGGTGTAGCAAGTTTGACAGCCTCCCGCATGTTCGGAAGATTTGATTGGAAGAGCGGTCAGCATTCCAGACATCGTAGTTGCAGGTCAACGGGTGGCTCAATCCTTCAATTCTTTCAGAAACGGCGCACGGCCGGACGAAGCCGCTTAGTCTTCGAGCGAAGGACTTCACTCAGACCACAGCTCCCATCCGAGTCGTATTCCCGGATGCCACTCCCGGAGCGCGAAACAGAAACTTCAAAATGAGAGACATCGACAGAGAGAGATGCGCGTGTCTGCGCCTACATCGTGAGTGCCCGAGGCGGGACTCGTTGAGCTTCTTGCCTCATCTTGCCTCCACCTTTTCCCTCATGCTCTCCTCGGCTGCTCGAATACTCGTCGTCATTTTCCCGCTCCAGCACAGACAGAAGTGCGGGGCTTCTTGAACGCCAAGAGCCGAGCACTTTTTCCCAGTTGGCGTGCTGCCGGCGACCTCCTTCTTGCCCTCCATCAGAATGGTATGCAGTTTCTAGCAATGTGTAGCTCAAGCATCCACGTACGTTGGCACTGCCTCCATCAACGTCGATGAGCTTTGCGGCCTCCTCCTGACATTGCTTTGAAGGAGCTCTCCCACTTGGTTTCACCGGGTAACAGAACCTTTCTCTTGTGAATTCGCAGTGCTTCCATTGTGTCGGTGGAGGGGTCCGTTCTATCTTATCAGAAAGCAGTACATAGATAGACTAACTGGTTGGAGGGTTTGTTTGGGGCCCAGCAGATTGCGTGTTGGGGTGTCGACTGCGGATTAGGATATGATGATTCCCGCATACGGTGGCGGGTGCCCCCGCCCTGACTGCACACCCCAAGTCTATATGACTTGTTGGCCCTTTGGATTGCGAATGAAGGTTTTTGAAATTTGCGGGGCGGCGTGTCATTGTTCGGTTACACAAGGATGTTGCAAAAAAAGGTCTGTTCCCGGGCTGGTTTGCCTTTCGAGGCCAGGGTTTGTGCTCGGAGTGGCGGGGTCGTGGTGAGTATTTAGGGGGTAGTCGGGCTGACACAGGGGTGAAGGGCCTGGGGACCGGGCATACGAGTTCATCTTACAGCGTCCTCGTCGCTTCGTATCCTCCCTGGAGCGGTCCGCACGCTTCGGGGATTGAAGTTTGCCCCACGAGTTGCGGCGATGCGCTGGGGGAGACCATCCCGTCCCTTTCGGCAACTGCACTGCATGCCGCATGTTTGTTTCATGGGTGGCGAGCTCACGCCAAGTGCCAGATCTTTTTGCGTAGGGCGAAGCACATCATGCATGAACTGCGGGGTGGTTGACGCAGACACTCTGATCAGGAGCGTTTTTGGAGTCTTCCGGACCTGGAAAAGATCGTGCAGGCGATGTGCAGCATGATAATTAGCTTAGATGCTATAGAGCTTTGCGGTCGGGTGGCTGAGGAGCTGGAAACTCTTAGCTGGGGATCAGGCGCACGCGGTTGTGATTCTTGCTTTGCTTCTTGTATGCATCAGTCTTTTTGTGTGTACGCCTGTCGCAGGTTTATGTCATAATGATATCCTGTGGCGGCGGCTTGGTCGACACCTGGTCAAGTTTCGGGAATGTCAGGATCCTGGGGACGATGCTCCAAGTGCAGGTGCAAGAAACTCAGCTTTGACCTTGCGTAGCTTCGTAGCTCAGGTCAGCCGACGTCTTGGTCTACTCAATCAGCAACTGCGATTGCTGATGTGGCTTTGCTTCTGTTCTGGGTACCTTTGCTGGCGCTGGAGGCAGAAACGAATCATATCACTGATAAATCCGTTTCGTCGTGACCCCGGTATCAGTCTGCCATGCCAAGTTTTTGCTTACCTCCTTTGTCTTGATCTTTCACTCCGTTCTGTGGCAAGGCCAAGATGTTGCCCAAAAACTTGTGGATTCAATCAGGGCCTTCAAGGACTACCTAAGCTCCGTACGGGACCTGGCTGCCCGGAAAAGCAGATTCCGCTTTGAAGCTAACTTTTAACATCCAGATGCCAGCTGCCTCGGCACACTGAGGGCAATCCCACGCGGCTGGAACAGCTGCTGCAGGCAAGCAGCCTCTAAAGTCAAGCAATGTCAAGCACAAGCTCCGCATCTTTGACAACTTCTAGCATTGCGTGCACTTTGTGCTCCCTGTAAAGTCGGAGGCTGTGGATGACGCCCCGCAGCTGTTGTACTACAGGCCTATCGCGCCCCGGAAGGACAAACCAGTGCCGCCGAGTTTGGGTTGGTGGGACCAGGCACTGTTCCGATTTGGAAGTACGAAGCCACTTCCTTCTTGCTCTGGGTGGCGCAATCCGAGCAGCTGAGGAGGGATCGGGTGCAGTTTGCCAAATTCCTTCCGAAGCGAGAGTTGATTCTTCGCAAGGGCTCAGCCGTGTCGAATTCTGCGACACGCCTGCGAATCCTCGCAGGGCGAGTGGCCGGCACTGCGCTTGAAGTGGCTGTCGTATATTGCATTGTAGTGCCGTAGCCATTCCTTTTTGTTAAGCAAAAACCTAAGCCTAGGAACTTTCTTCAGCGTTGGTGGCACGAACGCGTCTTGGCAACCATTGGCGACTCGAAAGATCTTGAAAGGAGCACGCATGAGCCTGGCCTTGAGGTGCTCCAACCTTGGCTTGATGCCAGGTTGACGGGATACTGCAGGTTATGGCAGGCAGCCACGGAAAGTATCGCTCAACGTTTCAAGGAGGATCAGTGAGTGCTGCAATTCGGTGCTGGTGCTGCGGAGTTGTATGACAGCTTGGGATCAAGCTAATCTCAGAATACCCCGGCAAGTGAACATTTTTGTGCTGTGTCTGTATATTTGTGTGTGCGTCTGGGTGTCTGTGTCTGTGATTGTGTGTGTGTGTATGTTGTGTTACAACTGGGATGTGAATTTCTGGGAGTTCAATGTGACGATGTTGGTCCAGGTGCTGTCTTCTGGGTTCCTCGCTTGACCTCGTCGAGTGCGAGTGCCAAAAAATGTTGTGTTATGTTACAAAGGGACATCAACTTGTTTCTTGCATGCCTGTCCTGCATGTTTCCAAGCCTGCCGTGTTGTGCAGGGGGCACAAGTGTAATCAGCAACTCGTGTGCCAACGAAGACAGTTGCTGATTGCAGCGAAACCTACCTGCCAAGAGCAAGTACCTGGCTAAAGGAATACAGCTGGTTGCACACTTTCTGATTGGCATGAGTCAAGGAGGCGCTTTAGGCCAGTTCGACGTCCAGGGCCCGTTACTGTTACTGGGCTCTATACAGATACACCGATTACCGGTTGGAGGCTGCAGATGAAGACATAAGTAAGTATGTACGTAGTAGGGATTAAGAGGTCAGTTTACGCCATGATCCGGTTTTTGCGTGGCGAGCCGATCGGCCTTGATTTTCGATCGTCGGCGTGGGGAAATAGCAAAGGGCTGTCGTTCCCTGCAGCCGGCCCCTAGCGCGGCCAGAGGTTCAGCCGCAGACTCCCCAGTTCGGGCTGCCCAGGAGATTGCCACCAACAGCAGATGTTGGTCAATCTCCGCCTGCAGCCTCTGGTGACTGGGGAAGTGGAGGTTGGGGCAAGGATCGTGACCGTCGCCGCCACACAGGAGAGCGGGCCGCTCCTGCTGCTCATACTTGTAACGGGCCCGTTCGCTGTGCAGAAGCCCGAGTTGGTGGAGCAGGTGGAGGCGGCGCATCCTACCTGCAACTCCTTGTTGGTGGTCGACAACAGGGACGAGCGGCTGATCAGCCCGTTCCAGAACCGGCTCGTGGACGAGATCATGGCCAATGCCGCGAGCTCCATCAACGTGCTCACGGAGCGAGATCAAGTGATGCCGCCGAATTCGAGCTATCACTGCTCCTTGTTCGCGAACTACACGCTCGACGGCATCAAGGCGGCTTTGGTGTTCACCATGTCTTGCAGGACCGGTGGGCCTCAGTGGGACTCCTATGCCAGCTCGGCTCTTCCCCACTCGGCTTTTCAGCCGTTCAGTTGGCCCGTGATGTTCGATACCTCTGCCACTTACCTGGATGTGAAGGTCTCCGTGATGTCTTTCGAGGTCGCCAATCTGTGGTGGCCAGTGATCATGCCAGGAGCAATTGTGAGCTCCGAGTCACCTCTCGATCGTCCGAGGAGGGCTACGGAAATACGCGGATCGAGTCGAGTTGCGCTTCAAGGTCGCCAGCAGCCGGATGCGTCCGTGCAGGGAACTTGGCTTTCGGTCAGGCGTCGATCAACTCCATCCAGGCTTGCCGCAGCAGCACGCTCGCGTCGAAGGGCCCGACCACGTGCTGCAGTTCGCTCAGCTCTCGGCGGTGATCGCTCCCTGGTAGGCAGCGTAAGCTCACAGTGGTCCTCCTGCGATCATGGAGGAGGCGGCCAGGCACGCAGTTCGTGAGCAGGGGGCATCGGATTCTTCGACGATTACCAATGTTCCCGCTTCTGCTCAGCAGATCGATGTATGATCAGTGGGTTTCATCTGCGATCCAGGTGATCCCGGAAAAAGAGCTCACCGAACAGGATGATGCGGCCGAGGTTCTCGCCAAGGCCCGCGATCGCATGAATGCTGACGTGAGCTCACGTGCGTTATTCGTGCACTCGGCGGCGATCACCCCGAAGGCAGGCTCGCAAGGCCCAGATCTTCGAACGGATCAGCGCCGTTGTATGGAGGAGACGGGGCGGCCAGCCCGGTATCCTTCGCTGGGAGCTAGGATTAGGGGGACCCTTGGGGATATAGACCCTCTCAATAAGGTCCCTTTTAAGAGAGCCAACAGTAGGGTTCAGAAGGGGTACCCTTGAAGGGGTACCCCTAATAATACTACCTATTCGCTCCGCAGCATCCTCCAGCTCGGAGCCCGGCAGGTCCTTATGCCACGCAGGAGCCGACGGTCAAGTGATCGACGATCGTCGAGGTTGAGGCGTTTCGGAGTTTTGTGCGATGGCCCCCGAAGATCTGGGCGATCGTACCGTTGTTCCGACCTGCGTGACAGTGTTAGCCGGCGGATCAGCCGATCTTCTTCCAAGTGCAGAACAAATGTGAGCCGAGCGATCATCTCGGTGCGTTCAGCATCATGGCATGATGCCCTGGCTCAGGGACGGCGCTCGGATTAGGGATGGACAGGTCGGTCAGTTAGGAAGACGAGGTCTCTGCCTCTGTTCAGTGTGATGAGTTCTGCCTGTGGCTGGTAGATCTACGCATGTCTCAATTCGAAAAGCTCTCGGCAATTTATACAGCTGGCGGTAGCGAGCCGGCCACTCAAGCATAAGGCCGCCGGCGATCGCCAGCTCGCGCCGGCTCCTCTCGCTCAGCGGCCTAGGGCGATCATTTTCGGCGAGGCTCGCATGTGGGGCATCCGGCTCAAGGCCATCGTGGGCGCCGGTGTGGCAGGTGTGCTGCGATCGCGGGCGACCCCAAAGACGGATGACCTCTCCAAGGACAAAATGAATGCCCTTCGTGCGATCGTGTACGAGAGTGGCGGATTCGGCCCCACATGCATGGCGTCATCGAACCGCAAGGATGAGTAGATCATGATCAGCATCCACCAAGCGAAGAAGGTGATCTCCATCTCTCCACTCTTCCCTTGCATGACCACGTACCGCTCGAGGTCTCTTTTCCTCGATCGCCGTAGACTCGTAGACCTTCTTCTGCAGGACGACGATGCGAGCGTCCCCGAGATCCGGTCCATCCATCCCTATCCTCTGGCAGATCCACTTCACTGCACCTTGGACCGAAGGTATCACTGTCGGCCCATACCCCCGATCGGAAAGTGCCAAGATGTACTTGATGAAGACCTCCGCGGTCAACGTGACCTGGATGCATTCCGACAAGCCTTTATGCCAGTGACGGAGACGCTCGAGATGAAGGACGGGGGACTCTACGGTCTACGGGATCGGGTGGCAGACCAAGGTTGAGCGGCAGAAGAAAGGCACCGTGCTCTGGCTTCGTTACTTGCTCTCGACGGCCGCCCCCCCTCCTCCGCACAATCCGTTCAAACGGCTGCAGGCAGGGAAGAAGAAGAAGAAGAGGCTCCTCAATACCGCGAACCAGGATGACAAGAAGAAGATCGCCAAGGAAGATCCGGCCAAGAAGCTCAAGCGCGACAACCGCATCCCCGGGAAGGAATGGAAGCTGGTCGCGGGCGCGGCTAAGAAGGTCCAGGGTCAGGGCGCTCCGGTGCCACTATTTCGTCTCGTCTCTCGGTGGCGTTTCAGGCGTCGGCGGTCTACAACTACACCCGCCGATCGGCCGCGATCACTGGGCTTTCCTTCGAACCTTCTCCGATCGCGAATACCCCCGAAGCGACTTTAGGGGGCTATCGCCAGCGTTGCAGTTCTCGCTCTACAAGTAGCGGTCTCTTCACCGATGGTTCGGCTCCGAATTCAAGCACGAAAGATAGATGATAGGAGGGGTCATGTTCACACAGGATGATGCTCCCAGGCAGTTCTCATCGGGGGTGTCGTCACAGATCATGCAGCGGTGGTTCCCGAAAAAGGCCCAGATCTGTATGGTAGAACTGCTCGCTGCCGTCGTTGCGATTGCGATTGGATCCCGAACCCGGCTGACAAACCCTCTCGATCGTGGTGATGTCGCTACAGGTCTTACTTCCGGTATGATCACGGTCGTCTCTGATACTCCCATCGGAGTTTGAGGGGCCGGGGACTATCCCTTCTGATGTTTTCGTTCGGGTGAATGTGGACGCGAGTTCATCTGGTGCGCCCCTCCGGTGATCGGAGCATCCATTCGGAATGATGAGGATCAGAGATGTTCGAGTTTTGACCTGTGGCCGACTCCCACGTTTCCGTGCGGTCAGTTTCCACGATCGTACAAAAACAGCCACGATCCGATCTTTCCGTTCCCGGTTTGGTGGTTAGCCGATCGGCCCTGATTTGCAGCCCCACCCATCCACCCTATTGACCTATTGATCACTTCGAGGGATCATAATGCCAGCTCCCGTTGTGGGTCTGCTGGCTCTCGCTTACGGGACCTATGATGATCTTTGCCGGCCGTGTGGACTGTGGTCTCTACTTTGGCTGTTTTTGTGACGGAATTCCCGGTCGGCGTATCTGCCTCGCCTCAGCTCGAGTTGCCGCGGGGTGCCCTGGGTCACCCCGCCTCCTCATCGCAACCTTAATGCTGCTGCTCAGCAGGCGGATTTCATCATACGGGTGCTCAACGTCCTGCTGCCTAGGCCGGTCTGCAGGCTGATCTTGCCCCGGTCGGGACCCCTCGACTGCACGAAGCTGATGATGCCGCGGTCGAGGTCCAGCAGTCCGAGCCTCGTTCGGAAGATCCGATCCAAGATGTTTCGGCTTTCTTTTCGGACCCGATCGAAGATTTGTCGCCGGCGGTCGATGCCTAACTCTTGTGCAGACGCTGGGAATATCTCTTCTGATGTGTTACACGATGTGTTCGTTCGGATGAATGTGGAGCAATCTCCAGTTCATCTGGCGCGCTCCTGCGGGGATCGGAGCATCCGTTCGGAATGGTGAAGATCAGAGATCTTCGCTTTTTGTTTTATTTGTGGCCGACTCCCACGTTGCGTTTGCACAAAGAGTCTTGCTCGTGCGACTGCGGGGTTGTTCAGCGACTTCTCGAGCGTTGCAGATCTTGGAAGCTGGTATGCATTTACAAGTAAATGTTCGTTTGTCTGTGTGTATGTCTCGCTAGGAGTTGCGAGACCGCTTGGCTTCTACCATAGCAAGGCATTTGAGTGTGCATCGCCAGAACCTCACATCGACATGCATATGCCTCCAGGTCTGCCGGCGGTGCAGGAAAGGATGCAGGTCTCGGGCGTTGGTTGCCGCTGTGTTGTGGCAGTAGCTTATCGTGACGGTGACCCGCAGCTGACGTATGAAGAAATTTCGCATCATAATAGCAGAAGTCAATTTCAACGAATAAGTTTGGATTGTTCTCAGGCTTCTGACTCTACTGGCTGGCGCAGGTGTTCCCTCAAAGACTCCATCTCTCAAGCTGTCTGGCTGGCCAATGGCTGGCTGTCCCTTAGCAAATGAGCCAGAGTCCCAGCAGAGCCCCAGCTCCGAATGGTGGGGCACTTGAGACACGCTCAGGTTCACAGCCTTCGTGGCTGAGAAGTCTCCGCATGGAGCCTTGGGACGATGGAGCAGTCTGGATTATCAAGTTTTTGCCTCAATGCTGCTGCTGGCACCGCGGATGTCTCAACATGGTGACCTGCCAGGCCCATACCATGCAGCCCGAAGTTCTCATGCACGTCTGCCTGTCGGTTGGTGAGCTAGATGTTGACGCCACAGACGCCCCATTTGCGTCTGCAGCCTACAGCAACCTGTTCAGCAGACGTGTGCAGGCACAAGTTTTTGCATACGAAGTCGGTGCAAGGCGGATATCGGTGTCACCTGGCCTTCTGGCAAAGCTGCAGACTGTGGAGCATCCTCAGCCCGCTGATTTGCGTCTGGAGCCAGCCTCGATGCCTGACGAGCACGTGGCGACGCCTCCAACCCCCGATCAGCGCACCGCATCTCTCGAAGAGACGCGAGAGACGCAAGTTGCACAAGCTGGTGAGTGGAGAGCGACGTACCCGGATGAGCGGGTGCGTGCAGTTCAAAGTTCTTCTCCAGCTGCAAACTGGCTTGCGAGGTTGGTGCCTCCGTGCCAAGCAGCGCCTCACAGCGAACGGTCCGCCGCGGGACTTCCAATGCGGCAGTGTCGGCAGCTGATTGCAAGTCGCAGGTATTATCCTTCGGAGGCAGCTCCAAGCCGAAGGCTTCCACAATTACGACAGGCGGTATGCAACTATCAGATCGCATAGAAGTGGCGAACACTTGCCATGAAGTGCAGGAGGCATGCTGAATGCCGATAGTGGTGATGGCGTTCCTCAAGCTTTAGGCTGCGGCATGCTGGGTCTGTGTATCAGCTTTTAGTGCCCGGGTTTGCGTCTCAGGCTTTGAGGCCGCCACGAGAAGCAGAGGGAGCGGACTGCGTGTGGCACAGGAAGCCAGCAAGGCTCACGGGACTGTTGTCGTATGTCGTGATGTGTTGATCGTGTTGCGGTGTGGCATTGCCGACAAGGAAAGCCGCGATGCTCCTAAACTCGTGCGAAGGCAAGACCCGATCGGCAGTTCCACATCACATGCGCGGTGAAGCTTTGGCCAGGTCTATCGACTGGAGTGATGCCTCTTTTCTCCAGCGGCTGGCCTGCCGCCTGGCAGTTGCACATACTTTTTTGCGAAGCCTTGAAACTTGAGCCGAGTCCAGGGGTTGGGCAAGTCCCACAGAACCAGTCTTGGGCATGACGTAGTGTGGTAAAAAGGCTCTTGGCCATTCTTGGCCAGCCCCACGGGTGAAACAGAATGAGTTAGTTGAGGGAAAAATAGGAATTTGAATAGCGGTTGATTACGGAATATGATCTAAATAGGGCTTAAATAGAAATAAAACGTGGCTTTTCGGAGGGGTCACATTTCGCAATAGGATGTAAGAGTGATGTAAGTATGTTTTGGAAACGCCGCCTACATTGGCCCACATGCCAGTCATGCAATCTGTGTCGTTACACGCGCCGACACACTCCGCACGTGCGTGGCGACGGAAAGACGCTCGCAGCGACATGATGACGCCTGCGAGGAGGCATGCACCGCGGCGTGCCATGCAGCTAAGCGTTGCTGACCAACGCATCACACACACACACACACACTAACACTACCCGCCTCGCCCCCCCAGGCCCGACCCGCGCGCAAGGCCCGCTGCCCCCCCCCCCCGCCTCAAGAGAAGCGCTCGCAGTGGCGGCGGCGGCGGAAATAACTAATCTTTCTTGTTTTCCTATGCATCGATTGTGTTCTTTTCCCGCACCTCGAAGAAAAATGCGAAAAAAGTAGGAATTAAATCGGGAACGCCGCAGAGCCGTCTCCTCCACCCCGACCCGGCCCATCCCCCTGCCGTGCCCTCCATCCTTTCGAGGGCTGCACAGGGCGCTGCCCACCACGCCGTGCTTTCTGCATTGATTGGCGAGTCGTCGTTGCATTGTTGCTGTCGTGACGATTGCATGGATGAAGCTGCTCGTGCCTTTGTGTTTTCCCCATGTTTTGTCAAATGCTTCTTCTATGTTTGTGTATTGTGATTCTCCATTCCTAGTTTTTTCGTATTTATATTTATTTCCTAGTCTAATTTTTCCACATGTTAGTTGTTTTCTGCAACCTGACCGACGATTCCATTTACTAAGGTAGCGGTCATGATCTTGGAGCGTTATCGTACTGTCGTACTGCACGGAAGCACAAGCATCAATGCGGCATTCTCACATTGGCATGACCCTAAGCCTGCAATGTCGCGAACAGTAACGGTCGACCCATGTTGGTATCTCTTGTGGGCCACTCTTTCGCCAGCCAACGTCGACATTGGTACCGGCGACTTGCTCGCAGGTTTGACCCTCGGATGAAGCATCTCTCTTCGCCACACTTTCACATGTTTGATCAACTTCAACTCGGGCTCAGTCACTTCCCAGGTGTCCCAACGGGAGCCATCTGATTCCTTCATTCCTTGTGCCGCTGCAATCAGGGCACCGATCTTCAACCGATTAAAATATGTGATTGTAGTTATGGACAAAGTGATCCAACTACAAATATAGTAGATCCAAGTACTGAAACAGATGGCCAATCGAGTTGTCATGCATGTCGGACACCCCACGCATCTCAAACGAACGCCCCATGTCCGAAGTTACCTCAGGAAGACCACTCCCTGCAAGTCGTGCCACATCTGCCACGGCATGCAGTGTGACAGTTGGTTCACCAGAGTTCCTTTACGCACAATCGGGATGGGATTCCCAGTCGGGTCAATCAAGGCCAAATATTATTTCGCCATCGCAATCCAAGTCCAAGAGTCCTGCAACAGCAGTCTTGCCACACTCACCAGTGGGAACGGTATCCCAGTGCACACATAGAATTGCACACTCAACGAGTGGCCGCTGCCATAGTCAAGCTGAAGAATCTTCAGTCAAGCCCCACAATGACGGGGCATTCTCCTGAGTTTCGACAGTCACTGCTGCTACATTCTGCGGTGGTTCATTCTTGGCAGGGTCCGAAGGGACATTACCCTGAGATCCGGATGCAGCAGTGGAACTCTGTGATTCCACACTCCACCAATCTTGCGTGTTCCAGGACCTGTCATCGGACCAATAACTCCAGTCGTCATCAGAAACAACAGTGGAAGAACCAAGGTGGGCACCACCTTTGCAAGCGGCACACAGTCACCAGTGAACCAGCGACTTGGAGATAAGCTCCTCCCGTGTACAACTCGTTCCACTCGCAATCTGCGGCACCCGCTTGAAAAAGTCAGGGCCATGTTGAATTCGCGAAGCGGGTACTCGAGACTTGCACTTCGCTAACAACATAAGAGGCGCGCCTAACCCAACATAAGAGTGGAGGGCCGGTAATTCGGACATGTTTTCCCCCACAGGTCTTAGAGCGCAACCAGCTGCTCTGATTTCATGAACCTTACTTGGTACCTTACTCGCTGTCCTTTCTGTCCTTCAGTTTGTGGTACAACCGTTTCGTGAACATCGGGGCACAAACCGTGCTAGCACACAGACCCTAAACGGGGACACGTTGCTCACTTTCCTTCTGCAGCCGAGCCCATCTCAACAAAATTTCCATACCCCGGAGCAAAGCAACGGAGGCAACTCCCCACCGCAGCCCTGGCAAAAGAAAGAGAAAGAGAAACGGAGAGAGAGAGAGAGATGGAAATGCATGTCTTACGAGCCCTTTTGACCTGGCATCCATAGTTTCTTCACAGCTGGGGGAAGTTTTCCGTTTTCTGACTCTCCCTACAAGGCCCCGTTACAGGGGTGGGCCTTTTCGGCCTAGGACTCCTGACAAGACTCGCATGCCACGAAGTGAAGTGACATGAGGTGAAGTGAGTGAGGTGAGGTGAGGTGAGGTGAGGTGAGGTGAGGTGAGGTGAGGTGAGGTGAGGTGAGGTGAGGTGAGGTGAGGTGAAGTGAAGTGAAGTGAAGTGAAGTGAAGTGAAGAGAAGTGAAGTGAAGTGCAATGAAGTGAAGTGAAGTGCAGTGCAGTGAAGTGAAGTGACACAGAGAGAGACAGAGAGAGAGAGAGAGAGAGAGCGAAAGGGCTTTGACAGGCCCCTATGCCCGGGAAAGGGAGAGAGAGAGAGAGATAGAGAGAGCAAGAGAGCAAAAAGCGAGTTTGTCAGCTTGCACACATGCGCAGAAGAGCGAACGCTTTCCGATTCATTAGTTTCGACGACTCCCTGTGCAATGGTGGTCTTCAGGGTCTGCACGTCGCCCTACCCGTCAGTGAGGTCAGTAAGATACAGTACGCATGATGTGTGCCGCAGGTTCGACGAGGGCTGAAGGCAGCAGATGCTGGATGGAAGCAATCCTGGGAAGAGCGCATCGCTTATTTGCCGGATTTCTGCATATTTCTGCGGCCGCATGACCACCATGTTTATCACAAGGTTGTGTGAAAAAAAAGACATTTCGTCGAGCCTCTCTGCACAGAAGCCATCGAAAGAGGCACGATGCGAGTTCCCTGTCCGCGTGTGCACAAATCACCAGCTACTGTTGCGTAGGCACAGTCCCGTATGCGGAATGTCAATCGATCAGTCTTGCCTGATGCATGTTGAAAAGCAGTGCGCGAGATAAGCTTCCCTTTCGCCCTTACTCGCGATGGACTGACCCTTGCCGACTGGTAGAGTGAGCGCGCGCGTAGGCAAGTCTGAGTAACAGAACCGAGCCCACATGGACTCAGCGTACCGTCATCGAGCCCTGCACATATTTGCACCATGTTTCGCCCAGGCGCCTGACTTTGAGCATGGTCGGATCTGGTTTTGCTTGCTGGGTGGAAAGTGGAACTTCTGGGAAACGAAACAAAGCAGAAAGCAATCAGGGTTTGGGAGTCTGCAGTTCTGCAGGCTGGGAAAATCGGAGGATTTCGTTTCTCAGCTCCAGATCTCGATGCCATGTGTTGCACAGGAGGCTACACGTGTACAGGGGAATCTGTCAGGTGAAGCAGTATTGATAGCATTGACGAGAGAGACGAAGACACGAATACCCGCACACGCCGCTGTACTACCGACTGTCCAAGCCTCCTACCCGACGGCGGCCAATTCAGCTCAAGAGTTCGGGCAGGCTAAAGCATTGCCATCCTTCCATCGTTTCTTGCCATCCAGTGCCAATTGCAGATGCGCGTCGTTGTGACAGGTGCAGGTGGGCAAACTGGAAGTCTGGTTGTGAAGAAGCTGATAGAACATGGCATTGAAACAACTGCCGTCGTGCGAAGTGAAGTCAGCAAGAACAAGCTGGCTGATCAACTTGATGCCAAAGCTGCCGTCAACATTGTACTGGCGGATGTTACCAATCCTGAAACTTTGAGAACGGCCTTTGTCGGTATGGATGCCTGTGTCATTGTGACAAGCGCGATGCCACGATTGTTAAAGTCCTCTTTGCTTGGTGTGATCCTTGCGAAAGTCTTCACATTGGGCTATGTGTCCAAAAAGCCTTCGTTCTATTTCGATGAGGGACAGTCGCCAGAGATAGTTGACTGGCTGGGCCAACGCAGTCAGATTGATGCCGCCAAAGCTTCCGGGCTGAAGCATGTCGTCCTTGTGTCGTCAATGGCTGGGACAAAGCCTGACCATTTTCTGAACACGCAAATGGAGAACATTGTACTCTGGAAGAGGAAAGCCGAGTGCTACCTTGTAGCGAGCGGCTTACCTTATACCATCATCCACCCTGGTGGTCTGCTGCCACACTTCGGGGATGGTAAGCCAGCTCCAGGCGGCCGGCGACTGCTCTACGCTGCCGTTGATGATTCACTGATGGACGATGGACAGAACCATAGCCAAGTGCCTCGAGAAGATGTGGCTGCCGTTTGTGTGGCCAGCCTTTTGGAGCCCCAGCTTTCGAAGGGGCGCTCCTTCGATTTGGGTTCTGGGCCCGATTTGGGCGAACCTTGCAACTTCAGCCTCAAGGACTTGCTCGAGCCCCTGCAAGGCTCCAATGCTTGCTACACTAAGGAGCAGGCGGAGTTCAAAGATAGCAAGAAGATAAGAACTTGCCCTTGCGGTGAGCAGTAGTTCTTCGCACGTGTATAGTGAAGTTGTGCACGGTGGGCAGGTGTCGTATGCCATATGCGCCCTCTCGCGCAGATGTGAGATGCTGCTGCTAGCAGTTGTCACGCGCACACCACAGTCTAGTGCGTAGACACTGGCCGACGACCGAATAAGCAAAAGGCTCTCCAGCGTGCTGCTGCATCCTTCTCGTGCTTTGCATTCCCTGACCAACATGTTTCGCGTGTGGAGGTGTTGGTGGAATTCGTAGAGGCGAACCTGTGCCAGACCACTGGTAAGGTTCAAAGCTCAGCTTGATGTTGATTGCACAGCCGACAAGTGTCAAGATGGACGTAAAAGTCAACCAACCAAGGCATGGGCACAAACTCTGCTGTATAAGAGGGAGGGCGAGGAGTGGCTTGAGCAGCCCGTGGCAGCCTGGTGCAAGACAAGCTTACTGAAGGACGACCCTGCCCCAACGGACGAGTTGTCTGACCAGGCCTGATTGCAAATACTGGTGATAAGGATCGTTCGTGTTTGCAGAGTGAGGATTCCGATCCTGCCGCCATGGTCGAATCGGATGACATCCAGGCCAAGGAAGAAGAGGCTGACTCAAAGATATGCAAGACTCTCCAATACTTGCCGGACCGAAATGCGACAACAGATGACAACCGAGCACGAGTGCTCTCTTTGCCTGGCCAATTGCGTGTCACAGTTTCCCGGCACACAAAAAACAACATATAAAACATGCAACGTTCACCTGTTGAGGTTGACAAGGTCCGACTAGGTGTGCATTGATCGCTCCTCAATCACATAGTTGCCAGAAGTAGCCCTCACGTAACCACGTCCCCGACGTCGTGCCTTCTGGGGTTTTGTCCCGGCTCCGTTGTGTGAAGTATGCGTTCAAGAAGGCTTTTTCTGGTCTTTGGAGCCCAAGTCGTGCAGATTTCAAGCCTCTGGATGCAGTGCAGCAGGCCGGTCCGTACGATGAAAAAATGGAAGAAAGTTTTGACTGGGCCTGGGTCACATGACACTTGAGGGTTCAATAGTTGCTCAACACAAGCGTGTCCAACTTGTACTTCTTGGAAGCAAAAAAAAAACTTCTTGCATCCATGAAGTCTACAGTTTTGAGCTTAGCGGCTTAGCGTCGAAGGCACCGAGGATTGTACGAAATCCTTGGTAAACTTGAAGTCACTGCGTCACCCGGGCGTGCGTGTGAGCATTCGGGCTTTCGCCGTGCTGACGCTTGCATGCGGGCGCTTGGGTGCCTCCTCTTGCCAGTGATTCTGCCAGGTTTCTGCTTTGGATTCTTCCTTTCTGCCGCAGCCGAGCCAGTCTGCTTCCACTGGCCTTCAGCATCGGGAAGGACGGTCGTATACTGTCTACCGTCTGCAAACAGCTTGCGACTCACCGTGCTGCCCCCGCCCGCACGTCATCGCACCGCCAGGAGACGCCGCTTCGAAAGACGCCGAGGAAGAGTCGCCGGAGAAAGAGCAGCCGCAGCCCGGTGAAGTGCAGCAGCCGCAGCCCCTCCCGCTGGTGGCTGCGGGGCCTAGTCCTGCGCAGAGTGAGGCAGAGTTTCTGGGAGACTTGTCACCGACAGAAAACCCCCACAGACATGCAGCTTTAGAATCATAGGCTTCCTGCAGGACGCTCCTACAAAAAAAGCATGGTCCCCGTGAAACACGGATCAGACACATCAAGGGACAGCATCCATACAAATACAGGCAAATCCAGCGTCGGGATGTACTGGCATGGATAGACTTGCTTGCAGGCTTTGCCAGACGTGGCAATGGTGTCAAAGGTGGAACCGGAGGAGGGAGCGACGGAGGAGGCAGATGCTGCGCTCTCTGAAGTTCCACCGGAGCTTGCTCCAGGCAAGGCGAGTAAGAAGGAGAAGAAGGAGAAAAAGGACAAGAAAGAAAAGAAAAAGGACAAGAGAGCCAAGAAAGAGAAAAAGGAAAAGTCAGACCCGACAGCGGAAGCACAGCCGAGAGAGTCCAAGAGGCAGGCAGCACCACAGGCGTGGCAGAGCAGAAATGCGTGTTTTCACTTCTGACAGTCACTGCGCATGGGGTCTTTCCACGTATAAGCTCGACCGACAGGTTGCAATTGTGGCGGCGCAGCTGGACAGCTCCAGCGATTCTAGCAGTGCCGAGATTGAGCCAATAACAAGCGTTCCACCCTCAGAGTTGAGGCAGACAAGTTTGCGACTGCATACGTGAGTTGTCCAAGCCGAGACACCGCCTTCGCGAGACTACAAGACAGACCCTCAGGTGTTGGAGCGTGATGTTGTCCCTTCAACTGCAAACTGTCAAAGAGACTTTCTTGCCTTTCCTTAATTTCGCATGTGGTGCAGCTGCGAACAAGGACGCATTTATGCAGCGAATTCTTGGAGGGTAGATGCCGCAAAGGACTGCACCCGAGTCCTGCCATTCTAGACATTCGGAGATTCGGCACAAAGACCTGCTTCGTCGATGCTTAGGGCACCAACACGGAACGCAGTTTGAGCAATGACGAGGCAGCGCGTGCCCAGCTGCGCACTCCCAAAGTGAGCTCAGACAGCCTGGAGAGGCCACGCTTTGCCAGATACCGCACAGTCCGCACAGGGCACTCGTCAAGTCAAGCTTTGTTGATGCAATGAACCTTACGGTATTGCATGGCATGCATGGCTCAAGGTGCTTACTGGCACACTGGCACAAATGAATGCTCGCCCACCGAGCCAACGCAATGGTGCCCCGCGAAGCCTGCAGCGAAAGCCTGGCTCAGCACCACGACCCCCATCTCGCATTGCTGACTCGGTGTCGCAAGTGTCACCTGAAGCAAGAGATGCGAGTGCTCGAGGTCGCCCCTCGCCAGAAGCTGTGTACAGTGTGAGCAATGCGAGAGATGCAAGAGACGTCCAGACGGCAGTCGGCCGACGGCCAGCCAGAGGTCCTTTGGGAGCTGCAGGCGCAAGCGTAAGCACAAAGCCTGCCCGAGCAGCCTCGAGCGGACCTGGCGTTGGACGATCAAGTGCACATGGAGGAAATGAAGTCAACAGAACCCCAACTTTTGCATATTTGCGACTTTATGGCTTAAACCAATATGCTCGTGCTTTTGTAGCAGCAGGATTCCATGACTTGGAGACAATTGGCAGACTTTCCGAGACGGAGGTACTGGACTTCTTAGAGTCCCTCCGTGTTTACCCAGGCCATAAGCTACGGCTCCTGCGAGCCATCGAATGCCTGCGGCATGCCGTGCTGGGAGCCGATAGGCGGGAGGAGCAAATGCTTGAAGATGACGCGGCCTTGCAGCGACTCTGCTCACAGAACTCAGAGCTGACACGAGAGAAGGCAGAAGCTGAGAATGAAAGCAAGAAGTGGCAGCAAGAGAGTCGCCGATTGCTTGAAGTTATCCGTGATCAAGGAGCAGAGCTGCAGAAGCAGCGTGACAAAGTGTTAGAACTTGAGGAACTGGTTCAAGCCCAGACTGAGCAGGTGGATTTTCTGACCGGCCAGCTGCATGCACTCGCACAGGCTGCCGGGCCCGAGGCGTTGAATGACATGTTCCAATCCCACAAGGGTCGCAGGGCGGATTCGGGGCTCGGAGATGCCGAGTCTCCACAGCCAGACGTGCCAAGAGCCAGAGCCTTCAGCGACTCAGACTCGTTGACGATGCCGACGCCTCTTGGAGGATACCTGCATGAGCCCGCTGTGGAACCTCCGCGGGCCAAGTTCGCAAAGTCCATGGAGATTCCATCTGCCAGCACCGAAGTGGATAATCTCATAAGGTGTCTCGCAACTGCACTGCAGAACAAAGTCATACTGTCTGTGGGAAAGCCTCGGCCCCACACCGGATCAGTTGAATGCCTCGCTGCTTGCGCCATTTTCTTGGAGCCTGTCTGCAAAGATATGTTGGAAAAGCAGGTGCGACCTCGAGATGCATGTGGTGAGGGATTCTCTTTCAACGAGAACAGTGATTTCGGCACGCCTTTGTCCAGCATGTGTTCGCCATTGATGTCGAAAGAATCATCTGTGCAGGTCTCCGAATCCTTGAACAAGCCAAGCCATCCCTTCAACTCAATTGCAGTTCGACGGATTCCCAATAAATGGGACATATATGATTTTCTGGAGCTCGTTATCCATGCACTAGAGGTCCATCCCGAGGTCAGCGTTGTCACGTTGGTGTATTTGGATCGGTTCTGTGAGACAAGTGGCATTGCACTGACGCCAGACAACTGGCAAAGATTAACAATCACTGCGATGATGCTTGCTTCAAAGGTGTGGTATGATGAGTCCTACGAGAATGTGGACTTTGCCCAGAAATTCGATCTTTACAGCTTAGCAGAGATTAACACCTTCGAACGCATATTTTTGAAGTGCGTCTCTTATGACATGTCCGTCAGAGCCGTACAGTATGCACAGACTTATTTCTTCTTAAGAACTTTGGGAGCAAAGGATTCCGTAGAGTTCACACTCCAGCCGTTAGACGAAGCGGGAGAGTCGAAGCTTCAAGAGCGATGTTTGGCGAAGCAGGTTGAATTCAAGCGGAGGTACTTAGGAGACGGCAAGGACTTCTCCGTGACAACCGCTTTCTAAGCAAGGCGAAAAAATGCTTCTGATGTTTTCACGTGGCTTTTGGCAAGATCGCTTCGAATTTGACCTGTGATGTGTCAGTGCGGCATGAACAGGCAGCTGCAGATTTCCGACGACAAGCGCGATCTCGGACCGCGAGAGACAGTGGAGGTTGTGTACTTAGAGACTTAGGGCAGAAGGACATGGAGCCGCATGGAGCCGCATGCACAGAGGCGACATGCCGCCTCGGTATGGGCCTCGGCTTGGGCTTGGGCCCGGCGATCCCCCTAAACCCTTCTTCCCTGCTCCGAGGGGCCCAGGCCCACCATGGCCAAAGCCAGCTCCTGGGCCGCCAGCAGAGCGCAAAAGAACTGCGCGCGCGAAAGATGAGTTTGTTTTTTTCTCTCTCTCTCTCGCTCTCTCTCTCTGGGCCTTGCGCCAGGCTCGCCAAGCCCTACCCGGAGCATCGCATGCGATGGGTGTTCATCATCTCATGGACCCACTCATGACCCAAACTCAGGGAAGGGCAGAGAGGGAGAGTCAAGCTTGAGCCGGCTTCAGATGGCTTCAGAGCGTTCGTCAGGATGGGACATCCAGCCATCATGACGGTGCCCTTCATGGCACCCGAGATGATTCACGGGCCGGGCTGATCGAAACACCCAGCACTGTCAGTACTGTAATGTCCTGGCTGTCGGCAGGCCGTCGCACTATCACCCAATGGCCATGATTGTGGACCCAGCCATGGTGATGCCTAAGTTTAAAGAGAAGCAGGAGAAGAAGAGCAAGAAGGGTCACAGGGAGGCACGCCAACGCAGCTTCGTAACAGAGCTGGGCACCCAGCTGAAATTTGCAGGAGCGTGATCGCGAAAGGGAGAAGCAGAAACGAAAGGCCAAGCCCGTCGTTACTCTTTTTTCCTGCACCGTTGAAGACAGGCAGAGAAGACAACCGATGCTTCCACAAAGCGGCACGAGCAGGAAGTTGGGGACCAGGCAACTGCTGCAGCTGAGCATGCCGTGTCAATGTCGAGGAGAAGCGGCAGCAGCAAAAACAGAAAGCCGCCAAGCACAAGGCAGCGGTCCGACCAGTGCTGAAACTGATACATTGTCTTCTGTCGGGAACCTGTTTTTGATTTCCGGATCCTGCAACTGCAACTTGAAATGAATGCTGGACATAGCAACACGCAAATAGAGTTTTGGGGAGTCAGAGAGGCTTCAAACGGTTTGCAGACAACCAACTGCCCCCTGATTGAACGGGCAGATACGGACTGCCGAAACATGCGAAAAACAAGTACGTAAAGAGCTGGGGCCGGCTTGTGCATGCACAAGGTTCGAGAACGTGGATACTGCACGTACACACTTGCCACGCAGAATTCAGAATGCTTGTGATCTGTCGCTGCGGAGGAGAAGCATGCGGCCGAAGACAAGGCTGGATCCGAGATGTGAACCAGCGACAGCAATTTCTGCATAAATGCAAACGAACATAAGCGAACACAAGAAGCCACAACACCATGCGACAGGTAGCTGCCAGAAAGGAAAGAAAGGTAGATGACGAGGATCTGTGACTGCGAGACTCCGCGATAAGATCGATAAAGAGCTGACCAGTGCTGTTCTTTTGACCTCAGTCTAGCACAGAACCTCAGTCTTTCAAGTGGCTTCAGACCCTTGTTCTGGTGACACTGGTGACTGTCATCTTCTGGGTCACAAGCACGAGTCCCGCAAGTATGTTGCCTCGGCACACATCTGTTCAACCACGAAGCAAGATCGGATTCGATCCCTCACGTCAGCTTAAACACCGGCGACGGTTGAGCACGTTATGGCATCTCATTTTCATGCAGTTAGGCTGTTGCCTGCTTGATTTTCGGATGGCTCCCAGAATGAAATGACCGACCTGCGGGCATCCCGGTGCTCCGTACACGCAGCGTCAGAAGACGAGAAATTTGGGTCAAGGTCTGGGGATGTGCTGGTCGCTGGCCCAGAACAATCTCCAACTGGACGGCACGAAATCATATGTTGCTGGGCTCAGGTTCTGAACACATTACAAGACAATGACCGGGTGGGAGAGAGGAAGCGTTTCCAATTGCAGGGAGGTCATGTCGACATTTGCGAAGAGCCAGCGGCTTAAAAGCTGAAATGCAAGAAGTTCTTTTTGATGAGGAATCGCACCACAGGCTTGGCTCATCCTTAGACGACTCGCCGCCAAATCCTTAGCACGGGATGAACACGGAATGAAAGACCATAAGATCCCATCGCCTCACTAAGGCTAGAGGGAGCCGATGTTGCGAATTTGTCTTATTCTGTGTGCGCCGTGCGATATTCAAACTCTTTATGTTGGAGAACCCCGACTTGGGCTGCAATTCCACTGTTGGTTAAACGCCTTCCAGGTACAGTAACACCCTATGGGACGGCTCGCTGCTTCTCGCCTCATTTCTGCGGTCCCAGCTGCGTTCCCAGCAGTTGGACATCCTCCCACCTCTTCCGCATCAACAGAAACACGTAGTCAGACGGCACGCAGGCCGTGGCGTGTGCGGGGTCAGCGTGTTCTGGAGATTGGCGCTGGATTGGGCGGGGCCCTATGAAGCTTGTCTTTGCGAACGTCTCCAGCTTTCACTTGCAGTGCCTGGCGAGCTCTGCAGAATCAGGCTTGCCCTCCATCGTCGCTGCTGCCATGGGCGGTCATGTTATCGCGACGGACCGATGCACACACGAGAGTTCACTTCAGTGGCTATGTGTACTGATTGGCTGCGAACGGCATGGAGCGAGGGAGAGATGAATTTCACAAGGGCTGTGTGGCATTGAAAAGGAGCAGTCACCGTTGGACTTGCTTCGTCGAGAGGTTTGCGACATCCTTGGATACACGCTCTCAAGACTCACCAGAACCAGCGCACATACTTGAAAAGATAGAGAACCGTCGCCAAATTGCCTTTTTCCTCCAAGGTCGGAACAAGGAAGTTGTTGAGGCAGGAGGTGGTTCCATCGATGTTCAAGAGTTGGACTGGGCCAGGACCTTATACATCCAGCTAAGCTGGTACGAACCTGCAACTGCAGCCAAGTCCGACCGAGGCTGAGAGTCCAGAACACGTCAGTCAGCGTGCCTGCCTGTTCGAAAGCTGCTGCTGGCAACTGCCCGCTTTTCTCCGTACACCGAATGAGGTCTTGGCTCCTTTGACGTTGTGCTGGGCTGTGACATTCTGGCTGGCCAGCTCGTCATGAGCGGATTCCGTGCAGTTGGTAAATAAAATTTGACTCTTCTTAGCGAGTGGGATATATCTTGTGGGGGAGGTATCTTCTGGCTTTGGCGGGTGGCTCCTTGGTAATTCAAAATAATTCACAATAATTCAGAAACATTCTAGAAACCTCTAAATAGTTCGGAATAATTCCAAATCATTTTTTTGAAAAAGAATCCCCAACCTACCCCAACGACTCGACTTCTATGTGTGAGAACGGGTGTGCATGTCTGCATATGATTTGACCCCATGGGCCAGGCCGGCTCGAGTTTTGTGAGGTGCCAAAGGTTGCTAGGCAATGGGCAGATTGAAGCACAATCAAGCAAGGGCTTGCCAGAGCATCTGGGTTGCAAGAGTGTGTTGTCGATCATGACGCGAAGGTTTATTCTGACTTCGAGTTTGGGACCCTGATGGTTCCTGCGGGAAAACACAAACACGCAGTCCATTTTTGAGTGTTTTGATTTTTTACAGTTTTATTTTTAAAATTTTTGGAATGTTGCTTGGATATTTTTTGTTTTTTTTAGAGCTTCTTTGATTTTTTGGAATTTTTTGAAACATGGAAGTTTCTGGAATTGTTTGGATGTTTTGGAATTTTGGCGGCTCAATCTTCTTTTTTCGGCAGCCTCCAGTCCCGACACAGTGCTTGTTTTCTGACTCCGTGTGACTGGTGGTTGCCTTTAGTTGAACCCACCAGGCTTGCGTAGCCCTTGAACCTGGACCTAACTCGTTTTGGTTTCGGACTTTTGGTTTCCTGTCCCCCAGGAGCCTTAAACACCGAACCATTTGGGACTTGGTTTTCGGACTTCCGGATTTCCTTTCCAACGCAAACCTTCAACCCTGAACCCTGGCTTTCGGACCGGGAGGCCCTGAGCTGGTGTGCGGAAACTTCGGGGGTGTACGGTTTGGAATGCGGGGTGTCGGGTTTAGGAGTTTAGGTTTCAGGATTCCCGGCTGCTTGCAAGAGTCCTGGATGCAAAAGGTTTCAGGATTCACTCCAAATCAGTCATTCCGAAAAATTCCAAAATTTTCAGCATAATTCCAGCTAGTTCAAGAAAATTCTCAATACTTCCAAATAATTCAGAAAAATTCAAGATCATTCAAATCATTCACAAGCCTTTCAAAAGGGCCCATGTGATACCTTCTTGAGAACATACCGTGTTTGTATGATTGATTGACGGTGCACATGGACAGGCGTCAAGCCGGGCACTGCGCACGGCTCTCGGTGTGTATCCTTTGCAGAAACTTGACCGGGACTCCCAACTCCCCACCGGAGGCATTTCCGCCAAATCCTGGACATCGTCCAGAGCGTTGGCACAGCGTCATCCTCGGCTTCATGCGCTAAACCCTTGTGGAGCACATGCCTATAATGCCTCGTACTTGTGTTTTGTCGCTTGTTTTTGTCGAGCCGTTCGGCACCTGGCCTGCAGTTGGCACAGCGAACATTCAAAAGATCGTGGTTAGTGACGGCCGGCTACAACTTTCAGGAAGGAAACAAAAGCACCCTGGGCGAATTCTGTGTGTTTACGATGCCCGTCACAGTGTTAGGGGGTTCTGGGATCGAGATGGATCGAGTACACTGTTTGCTGTTTTCTGTGCATGGTTGACTTATTATTGGACGGTTGACCTATGTGAACAGCTGCATGTCACGGCATAGGAACTCCAGTTCTGAACATCGTCGCATGTGGCAGCCGCGGTTGCTAGTCCAGGGAAGTTCAGTTGTTCGCGAAGCATCATGTTCCGGCAGATCCACTTCCGATCGTAAAATCATGGAATGAAAAATCATCAAAGTTTGCGAGTACTTCGAGTTGGGTAAAAAATGGGCTCGATCTGGAAATCATCGGCTCATAGCCGTCATAGCTTCTCCAACTTACTACTTGCTAGGAGCTTGCCGAGTCGCTTATGTTTGGAGACGTCATCCAGTAGTGCCGGGACCTCTTTTACCAGCTTGCGCTCCCTTTTCTCTTTTCGCGACCCCTGATCATGGCATCTTCCTCCGCGCAAGCTATGGCATCCAGCATGGAGACCGCGGAAAGCGTCCCACAGCCGCGTCAGGATCGTGACTCTGATGAGGAATAGGAGAAGATGCAGGACGAAGGAGCCATCGCAAGGGTGATCCGAGGACTGGCTGTACTGTACTGGGAGCGAATGGGAAAACAGGAAGAAGCGAAGCGACAAAAGAAAGAGAATGACAAGAAGAAGCAGGAAGACGACGAGAAGGCAACGGAAGCTGCCAGGAAGAACTTGGAGGAAGCAGCAGAGGAAAATGAAAGAAGGAACAAAGAAGAAGCAGAGAGGAAGAAGGCAGAAGCAGACGCAGCAGCCAACAGAGCAAAAGAGGAAGAAAGAAGGAGGAAAATTCAAGCAGCAAGGAAGGCAGAGGAAGCAGAGGAACCAACAGCAGCAGGATCAGCACTCGAGTGGCAGCTAGCAAAGCAAGCAGCAACAGCAGAGCACAAGGAAAGGATGGATAAAATGAAGAAGTTGCTAGAGACGTTTGTCAAGGAAAAGCAGCAGGACAGAGCAGCTGCAGGAGGAACTAAACAGCAACAAAGGAAGTGAAACAGGAAGCACCAAAAGGAAGAGGGAGACGAGGAAGTGACAAAGAAAGGACCGCAGGAAAGCAGCTGCCTTCTGCTGGCGCAGGAGACCCTGATGTGGTAGGAACAGGAGACAGGAACATGTACGCCCAGTTCGTCTTCAACAAAACTTGGTTTCAGTTGAAGCGGAACATGGATTCCTGCTTCTGGTACTAATACTACTGCGATCCAAAGGAAAAGAAATGGATCCGACAGGAGCGTGACAGCAAAGGAGCAAAGGTGTGCCAGGAGCAGGCAGACAAAGCAAGAAAGGCGAAGGAAGCAGGAGAGAAAGCCACAGGCAAGAAAGGAAGGGAAGTTGAAGGAAAAGGACCAGGAGAAGAACAAAGCTCAGGAGGAGCAGGAAGCAGCGACGACATCAATTACCAGTGAAGAGAAGACAAAGCCAGAAGGAAGAAAAGCAAGGAAAAGCAGAAGCGGAGACCGAGAAGGTCAAGGACTGAGTCGTGAGCCATTTTTCAGGAACAGCTGAGTGAAGGATGGAGTATCCGTTCTCACTTCAAGAAAGTTGTTTTTTGCGTGGACAAAGGATGATGATCTAAGTAACAGCGCCCAGTTTTTGTTTGTTTATGCAAAAAAACGTTGTACAGTACGAACAACTTTGGAGAGGAATGCGAGTGGACTCTGACAGTCTGCGACAAGGAACCAGAAACAGTGTGTTTTGTTTAGGAACAGCTCGAAGCCAGCTAGGTCTGGAAAACGACTTGCCTAACCTCGAAGGCGGGGTGTTCAACATCACTGCCAATTAGGAACACACAGTTTAGGACACTTGTGTATGTACAGGAATTTTAGGAAAGCCCTTTCTTTATCATAACATCCGTCTGGTAGGTAGGCAAAGCAGGAATCCGTGCTGCAGCAGCAGGCCCATACCCTCGCAATTGCAAGCCACGATGATTCTTGTGGCGGAAAACAAGCCAACACAACCTACTCGAATTAGTGCCGTGGCTGCACTGCAGCACGGGTCTGGTCATGGCTTGTTTTCCGGATTCACTCAGTGTGGGTGGTCGGTTTCAGGTGAGCCCGAAACTTGGCAACCTTATGATTTTAAGGTGCGGCTTGCTGTGCCGACCCAAAAAGTTCCGATCAAGCCACGGGCTTCCAGCTCCGTTCTGTGCGTGTGGTGCGCAATAACGGCATTGCCTTGAGCAAACCATGTGTTCCGAGAGTTAAAATACTATACTTGATGGTGAAGACGATGACGACCGAAGATTTAGTGCTCCTTGTCCGCAAACTACAAATTACAAGAATGCTTCAAGACTCGACAGCCTGATTCGCAGTCTTCTTCAGTGGACGAAGTGAGGTTGTGTTGGTTGTAAGGTGTTTGCCTGCCCCGGAGGTATGATTGGTTATTGGCTGCAGTTGTTCCTTCCTTTGTATGTTATGCCCGGCGTAAAAGCGGGGTGCTGCTTCTGGCACACTGCATGCCACCACTCCAAGTCCTGCAATGTGAAGCTTCTTTGCACAGAGCATTTCTCCGAAGGGTGTGGAGAGGGTCAGGGAACAAGTGGTCAAGGGCGGTGCGGTGCTGGACACTGCCACAAAAGCGACATTTCTTTGTACCAAGCCGCCTGTCACGATACCATCGGCGCTGCAGTCGCAGTTGGGAAGCCATTCTGAGGTGTTGCAATAGCACCGGCTTATAACCATGCTACAGCTTCCTCCTTCCGGCAGCACTAGTCAGACGCACCGGGCAGTTGTGCTAGTTCGGCCGAAGGCCCAACCGCGCAAACACGCGGTAAGAATTGACGAGATCCTGCGTCTCTAGCCGCCACCTACCAGAGTAAGGTTCATCCGAATTCACACTGCCTTCTGTACCAGCCTTGCACTCGACCACAAACCGGGAAGACTGCAGCGTAAACACCTTACGCCGTGAGCACACCAAATGGGCGAGGTAGACGCGCCATCGTGTCCCGGTGCATGCGCAGGCTGTGCCTTGATTTGGATTGCAAGCGCAGGGAGACGATCAGGGCCCCGTCTGGATACCGAGTTTGGTTGCATCCTCAAGATCGGCGGGACAAGCTTGCGATGTCGAACATTGCCGCAACTGCAGTTTGCCTTCTTCGTCGAAATGCGAAGTCGGGTTGGACTCTTGTAGAGCCACAGCACTATGCCACCAAAATGGCCTTAGAATTGCAGGGGTTGACTTGGAGCCCGCTGCGCAGCAGTATGCAGCAGTATCCGTGACGAATCATTCAACAAGAAAGAAGGTCCCACATAGTTGCATAACTACTGGCATGGCAAACACCGCTGCTAAGATTGTCTGCACATGTATGCGCCGCTACGACATTGGCGAAGGTTCCGGAACCCCACATCACCGCACATGCGGTTCATTGTGATATCCAATACTGCTCCCGATCTATGAATTCTTCCGTCCAGATTTTGGGGCGATGGGTGGGGCGTGCACCCACCACCGCCCCAGTCTGTCGGAGTACCGGAATCAAACTTCAAATTTCCAGTCAGCCTGGCACACGTACCTGACTTTGCCGGCGGGAGCAAGCCAAACATGACTGCGGTGGTATCAGCGCGAATCATAACGTCAGTAGCGGACGTGGTGGTCGCAGGAAGTGTAGATAGTAGCAGTACACATTGCGCTGTGGTGGGGCGGGGTGGTGGTGTGGCAAGCGTCGTTTAGGAATGCAGACCTCTCGTGCAAGGGGTGTCGGCGGGAGGAAATCGTTCGAAGTGGCTGAAGTCATCTCCAGTCCGAGCAGCTTCCTGGGGTGGGAGTTTCGGGGTGTCCTGGATTGGGACTAGAGTCTAGTGACTAGAGCTGGTGACGTGAGGGGTGACGTGTGCTGATGCGAGGACAACTGTAGTAAGTACCTTTGCAGGTTTGCAGTGCCGAATGTTGTGCACTGGCGCTCGGGTAGACATGATCGGTCTGTCAGCATCGCTGGAGACTGCCTTTGGGCATCGCAAGCTCCTCAAGTGTGTCAACATAGCGAGTTTTGAAGCTGTGAGCTCGAATGGAAACGGCCGTTTACATCGCTTGTCGGAACTAAGGCTTGGGCGGCATGCTTCCTGACCTGGGTGCTGCACTTGTCCGCTTGTTGCCCACGTAGGGTCGACAGTTGCGTAACCGAAGGCAGTGTTGAGAACAGAGGGTGTGAGGATGCGAGCTGCAGCGGTGGCAGACAAGGCAGCAACGCCAGGCAGATCAGAAAACAGGCATAGTTTCCTGTCGTTTCCCAAGGCTGCACAATCTTGCTTCTTGTCAGAGTTGTTTGTTGCCTGTCGAAGTTTTGGCACACGGGGGTCAAGCATCGAAGGTGCCTCGTTGCGGAGTTGAGGTTGGACGCTTGATGGTTTGATGCTGAGTGCACCGTCGCTAAGTCTCGACAATGCGCCACATCGGTCTTTTACGCCCAGGCAGCTGTGGAGACTACACTCCCAGGCTGGAAGGCGACGTTCCTGGACGGGTGAGAGCCTTTGCGTCCCTGTCCGATCTCCGAAGACAAGTCGAAGCTTTCAGTGTAATGTCTGCTAAGAGCACCCAGCTTTTCAAGATGTGTTGATGCGAGGCACCCAGATGAGAACTCAACACCCCTCCAACATCGCGAGGTCTGTTCTGGAAGCTGCATACAGGACTGATGGTGCTGAGATGTTGTCCTGCCCCAAGAGTGGATAAAGCATTTGCACGTCCGACAGCAAGAAACATGAATCGTTTCTTGCATGACAGCACTTACAAGCATTCATATACAGATGGACCGAAGCACTAAACACAACAGTGCATGCTAAGGAGCGTGCTGCATCTTTTCGACCAAGGCTTCTGACTAGATCTCGACAGCTTCACTCGATGAACGAGCTGGACTAAATAGCAGCGATGGAGGCAGCACTGGTGCCGGTGGCAGGACGGCTTTGAAGATTTCGGCGGCAGTGCTTCAGCTGCCAAGTATGGAACAACAGCTTGGACATGCAGGCATGTGGGCTGTCTCGCGAATGGGTTGAACATCGACAAGTGTCAAGTCAGACTTTTGCGCCAAAGCTGCGCTGCGGTATGCCATGCGGCAAACGAAAAGCATATACGTACAGTGAACCGAGGAGCTTTGTTGCAGAATGAGTTTTCGTCCGCCGTCACTGGTCTGTCTCATAAACGATATTCGTTCAGGACTTGTCAAGACTCGGGTTTGTTGTCATGCATGCCTTTTTTTCAGGGTTTTTTGCTGAGGACATGCTTTCAAAGCAGTTTCCCTGAAGCTGCTTCTTAGTGTCCACAGTACTTTTGTTCGATGCAACTTGCTCCATTTGGACAGACAAGAGGAATGCAAGCCACGAGCCCAGCAATCAGGACGCCAGGACGTCCGTTGATTTGTAAGACATGGTGGTACTGGCTAGTACAACTCAGGCATTGTTGGACATGACGCTTGACTGTAGTCTTCTTGAGGAATGTTCGTCCAAGTTGTCGTTGACGACGAACGCAGGCCGTGATGATCCGTGGCAATGGAAAGGAACAAGCGCGACAGCCGGAGAAGACGCAACTGCCATGCAGCGAGCCCGGGCCAAAGTCCGGATCCAGCCCATGAAGTTTCCGACGGGATGAACCGGTTCCTGTTTCACATTATCGACCCTGCAAAAGTGTACAACAACATTCCAGGGCGGCGCCAACAGTTCTATAACCGTCCACAGACTCCGGCGGCATATCACGCCAGCTGACAGAGCGGATCCAGCGGAGCGGATTTTGTTGGGCACGGTCGCTCTTTCTGTTTCCGGTAGCTTGCGGACACGATGCCGAGCTGCGAACCCCGTGGTTGGCGTTGAACTGGTCCTTGCACGTTTGGCCCCTGAGCTTTGAGCCCCATCGTCTCAGGGGGAGTTACATGGATGTCTGGAGGGTTCGAAATACAATTTCCCCTGTTCCGATGGGCCCAGCAGGAATCCCAGTACAGTTGTTTTCCGTGGGACACTCCAGCTGAGATAGTGTACTTGGGGGTCTTCGGTCATGGACCCCGACCGAGCAATGAACAGCAACGAATAATGTACTTAAAGGGGGTGGTGGGGGACTCCCCCAGGACATTAGTTGTTGGGGGTGGTTGTTGAAAACATGACCCCAAGATGCCGCAAGCACACGCAGCCACCGTCACACAGCCATCGGAGAGCGTCTTGTTGCGCCTTCCTGTAGTACTTTCGCTTCAAGACTATCTGAGTAATTGTAGATCGCAAAGCCAACACCTTCATGCGGGACGAAAGCCAGCTTTGAGATCGGCGGCTGGATCGTCAGAAATGGGAAATCAGAGCAGCCAGCTTCGAGGCCAGCCTGATGGAAACCGCAGAAGCTCATGCGTGACCACTGGGATGACCTTACGGGAGAAAGGCTTCGCAGCTCTCGAAAGAGATTTCCAAGTTCTCTGCGATGAGCCGAATCATGCTGCGGCCAGGCCTTCGCAACAACAGCTTGAGAATGCTGTAATTTGCAGACCATCTCCAGCGCCTGACGACATGAATGACATGAACGATGCTATGCTGCATGCTCAGGCAAAATGCCTGGACTCTGATTTCACTGATTGCACGTGTTTGTTCAATAGGCCTATGTTTGTGCAATGGTGTGCATGTTATGCCTGGGCAGATCACACGGTATTCAGATGCCAAGGAACCAGCGACTCACTGTCGTGTTCATTGTATGGATGGAAGCTACCACCTGCTGTCCTTAACAGGCACTACGAGCGTCGATGATGTCCTGCATTTGCTGCATGCACGTGGTGCAGTTCCAGGTGGTTGTCCTGAACTGCTTCTTGGTAATCGCATATTGGGCCGTCAGGGCTTGTGGCGTGATGTCGCTCCGGGCTGTGACGAGCTGCAACTCGTCTTGCTGAGGGCTTCCCTGCATGTGGACTTAAGTGACAATTTGCTGCTGCCCTCGGGAGTGGATGCATTGGTCAAAGGGCTGCCAAGCCGTGCACATCAGCTCAGAGCTGTGTCGTTGGCGAGAACTGGCCTCTGTGGTGAGGAGGGTGGCACGGTCGTCGCTCGACTTTTACAAGCTTGTCCAAGCCTGGAGTTTCTGGATATCAGCGGCAACAACGGCTTTGGATCAGTGAGCTTGTTGTCTTCTAGCATTTCTGTGTCTTCGATTGCAGCAGGTATACCCACCTGCTATTCGTTACAACATCTGGCGATGCCAGACTGCGGCATTGATGGATCCACATCAGGACGTCAGTTGGCACACTTTCTGGCGATGTTGCCGAATCTCAAGAAGCTCGACATACACAGCAATAACAACTTGGGATCCGACGGCGTGTTGGCCTTCGCTCAGACGCTACGAGCGCTGGACAAGACGATGTGCTGTCTTCAGGTTGTCAACCTTGGAGATACGGGGATAGAGGGGGCTGCAGGTGGCACGGCTATCGCCCAGATGCTGGCGAGTATGCCGCACTTGATCATGCTGGATTTAGCCAACAACGGCGGCTTTGGTGTTCAGGGGCTTCTTGCTTTTGGAGAGCACTTGGATTCAACTCCCGACAGGATACTTGCCAAGATAGACCTGCAACATTGCAGCTTGCCTGGGGGCCTGGAGCCTCACCACTTCGATGCTTTGCTGGCCAAATGCCCGAACATGGAAGTGGTAGACGTAGGTGAGGAGCACGCTTTTGACAGTCTGTCATCGCTGAATACTGCACCTCGTTTGCGCGCAGTGCGCTCGGATGATGAAGGCCTTGCCATTTGGCATGATTTACATCTCCAACTCGCGGGTGCCTACGCATCTCCGCAACAAGAGAGCTTAAACTCGGGAGAGGCACTCATTGTCGAGCTTTGCAAAAGTAGTCACCTACGATCTCTGAAACTTGAACACGGCAGCTTAACGACTTGTGATGACGGCATTGCCTTGGCTCGGCTGCTCGGTGCGATGCACTCCTTAGAGAATCTCAGTCTGTACGGCAACCCCACATTTGGCACACATGTCTTTGGAGCCTTCGTCAAGTCTTGTCCCAGGTGCTGCAGCGTAAGGCTATTGAACTTGGGAGAGTGCGGGCTTGCAGGCTCCGATTCTGGCACTGCTCTTGCGCAGCTGGTCGAGAGGATGCCGGGAATTTCCAGTCTGCTTGTTCGGAAGAACTTTCGGCTGCAAAACGATGGGGTGCACAGCTTTGCTAGTGCCTTATCTTGCAATGTGATGGAAGCTTTGGATCTAGGTTGCTGCTCTCTTGCGAAGAGAACTGGAGCCGCAGCTGTCTTGCGGATTGTGCAGATGTCGCCTGCTCTTCGCACGCTGTCAGTTTCCGGGAACCCACAACTGGAAGAAATCGGACTTCGCCTGCTTGTGGAGCAGATCCTTCTAAACACAAACGTCCGTTCTTTGAGCTTGGCTTCCTGCGGCTTGTCGATGCAGGACATGCATTTACAAACGCTATTTCCATCGGGATCCTCGCGCCTAGAGAGATTAGACCTCAGCGGTAACACGGACATTGGGCCACAGGGTTTGCAAGCCCTTCTGTGCCAGCTTCCCATCAGTCTCCAACACGTGGACGTAAGCGACTGTGGCTTGGAGTCTGTCTCAGGCGGTGCTGCCATTGCTTCCATGGTACAGCGGTGCCACGGACAGGGGCAACCCACATCTTGAGCCACGCTTCAAAAAGTAGCAAGCCCTCGTGTTAGCTGTTCGGCATCACTCCTTGTTAGAAGAGGACGCATACTGCTTGCATCCTTTCCTCCCGACCTGAAGCTTAGCTTGGCAGTGAAGTGCCTGTTCATGATTTAAGGAATACGGATGTCAGTAGGAGTTGGCCTTGGCCAGGCTTGCAGAGTCAAGCCGCCTTCCACGTGACACACCACCTGCAAGACACATGCTGGCATGAAGCAATGATGATGCACTGCTGCGTTCCTTGCTCAAGCGAAGACTCCGTGCCAATTGCCACCACATGTGCTGCATGATATCAATTGTCTTATTCGTACCAGCTTATCACGATGTCATGTCATAGCTTGCCAACATCCGCCCAACTACGACATGGTTTGAGCCTAGACTCCGATTGAGTCAGGCTGCCTACCAACCTATACATTGAACATGGAAAAGACTAACAACGATGAGACCGTCTTTGTCGGTGTCAGGCTACGGCCGTTTCTTGGCTACGAAGCAAGGCAGCACTGCTTTACAGCCTCCAGAAATGTCATCTCAGTCCGTGCTCCGGACAGGAAGAAGACGGACTTTGCCTTCGACTGCGTCATGGACAGCACAGATGCCTCCAAGCCGAACTATGTATCCCAAGAGAAATGCTACGACATGATTGGCCGCAGAATTGTGCAGCATTCCATTTCTGGATATCACGCGTGCTTATTCTGCTATGGACAAACTGGCAGTGGGAAGACCTTCTCTTGCATGGGCAAGAAAAGCGAGGCTGAGCAAGGATTGCTGCCACGGCTCTTGCAAGACTTGCTGAGCCAAATGGAGTCGCTGCCTAGCGGTCAGGCACGGGTTCCTCGACCTGACCCGTTTACGCCTCATACTCCCGCAAAAAAAAATTATCGCTTTACGTACTGCCTACCTGTATCTTGCTCAAAACCTGAGATCCCCCTGTGAAGCATTCAGAAAACACCACAGGTGCACTGCCGGGCTCAGATTCTGGAAGTGTACAACGAGAAGCTGCGCGACCTGCTGAGTGACAAAGACTCGGCAAAAGCTCCGGAGATTCACGTGCACCCGCGAGTAGGCGTGTATGTTGATGGGGCTATGGATGTGCAGATTGATAGTATGGAGCAACTTCAGAAGGTGCTGGACACTGGCATGTCTAGGGCAAGCGTTGCCTCCACGGCCAGAAATCCCAAGAGTTCTCGTGGGCATGTGATCTTTCGACTACTCATGGAGAAGCATGAGGAGGATCACAC